GTACTGCAGTCCTATTCGATGAATATGCCTAGTTACATGAATCTCTCTCCCTATGTTTTTCTTTCTTTCTCTCTTTCTCTCTCTCTTTTTTCTTTCTTTCTTTCTTTTCTTTTCTTTTCTTTTCTTTCTTTCTTTCTTTCTTTTTTTCTTTCTTTCTTTCTTGGGGTTGAAGATAGATAGATAGATAGATAGATAAATAGACAGACAGACAGACAGACAGACAGACAGATAGATAGATAGATAGATAGATAGATAAGTTTCCCGCTATCATAGAATATGCAAAATATCGATTCCGCAGGCGAATTCGAGTACAAAATACTTAGAATATGCCCCATTCCATGTGGAAAGTGGGTTGGCATCCTGAAAGGCTTTGTGCCTCTGGGAAGTGCAACGCGAACAAGAAAACTGCCATGTTTGGTGCAAAGGTGCTTGGGAAATCGATGGGAACAGCCATGGCATAAAATAGAGAATCGAAACTGATACTGATACTGATACTTGTGTTTATCATGTTTAGCCCAGAAACCGAAATGTCTGGAGTCTGCGCGCAAAATTCCATCCCAAAGTCCAACTTGTTCATTTCTTGACCACAAACACTGACCTCTGCAATTTTTCCAGGCGTATTTTGAAGGGTTCCCGTTCCAAAATTGCTGTTTTTTTCTTGGCCACGCTATCCAGTCGTGGTGTTTCTTTCCATGTCTTGGCAGTGCTGCATTTGTTCCTTTTCCCATATTGCTGTTTGCCCCTAAACCAAGCCTAGAGAAACCCAACGAAACCTTTAAAAACCCATACACCGACCCTAAATGACCAACCCTAAATCAGACCTCAGTCAACCTAAACAACCCGTAAACCACCTCTCAAAAACCTTGAGCCAACCTTAAACAAATTTAAAACCAACAATCGAAAATGAAAGGTTCGGAATCCAAAGTGTTGCAAATATTGCCCTAAACGGCAGCGTCGAGCTGCAACATGTTCACAAAATTCTCACAAACAAACATTTTGACAAAACATGCGTGCGAATGCGTGATTTCCAGGTCCAATGTCCTTACGAGCGGGGGGTTCCACTTCCAAAGCGCTGCAAACCGGAAAAAAAAACGGTTTCGACTCCAAACTGTTGCAAGCGCCATAGAAAACGAGGGGTTCCAGTTTTTTTTTGGATGCCTTAGACGTGTACTACTTGTTGATCCCCAGTGGAACCATTTTTTTTGATGCCTTGAATGTATTTCTTTTCATCCCTCACCCTACATATAGGGGTTTTCATAAATTATGGTACCCCAAAATGGATAGTTTCTAATGGAAAATCCATCTATAAATGGATGATTTAGGGGTACCCCCATGACTTTGGAAACCTTCATATAACCCCACACTAGCTGTAGCGGCTAAGGCAACGCTCCTGGTGTCTCTTCGAGCTGCTGCAGACGCGCTACGTGGCTCCCAAGTACAAGAGCGGCTACGAGGCAGTGGAACTTTTGCCAGGTCGTGGGATTTTTCATGATTTTTCATGGGTCTTTAATGGGTCTTATAGGTGTTCAATGGGATTTTGATATGGGATTTTGATATGGGATCAAAAAGTGGGACATATCAACGACTATGTTCTATTTTTGTCAGGGGATTTTCAAACAAATAGTTTTTGGTGGATTTATATACAGTATATATATATGGGTGGATTTTCAGTTTCCATTCAAGTTATTGATGAACATTGAACTAGTACCATAAATTTTTGGGGATGAACATTCATGGTAAACCAACCCCTGATGGTTGATGACACCACCAGCACAAAACTGGGGGAAATGGGTTTTACCCTCTGGTAAACCAACGTAACGAACTGGAAAATCACCATTTTTAATGGCTAAATCCACTATAAATCACCATTTTCAATAGCGAACTGTTAGTTTACCAGAGGGTAGTTGATACATGACTGATACATGATGGTTCAGCCAT